CTCAAAATAGCCATTTGTTTGTGTAATGACCTCCTCATTCGAGATAAATCATTGTCCAGCAAGCCACTTTTTTAGATTTTGGAATATAAAAAAGTCACTAAAGGCCATATCTGGTTAATACGGTGAATGGTCTACTAATTCGAACTTCAATTCTTTAATTTTAGCCATTGAAACTAAGCAAGTGTAAACTTAAGTATAATCAAGTGTTGTCGTGATGAAACAGAATTTTTTTTGTTCAGATGAGGACGGTTTTTCTTTATTTTCTCGCTTAATCAGTCCAATAACGACGGACAATACTCTCCAGTGATTGTTTGTCCTTTTTATAAATAGTTGACGAAGATAATTCAACGTGCATTCTAAAAAATAGTGGCCATACCTTGCCGGACGATTTTATTGTCTTTGCCTTCTATGGAGCTGGTTGACCTTTCATAATCCACTGTTTCTTCGCCTCAGAAGTGTAGTGGTGTAGCCACGTTTCTTCTACAGTTATGAATCGACGCAGAAAGTTGTCCGGATTACAGTGGATGCGCGCCAAGAGGGCCTCAGCGGCTACCACTCGACGGCACCTGTTCTTGACTGAGCAAACGTGGCACCCATCTTGCCGAAATTTTTCTCATATCCAATTTCTCATGTAAAATCGAAATGACAATACTTTTGAAAGCCCCTGTGGCCTCAACTATCTTACACAATTTTATTTTTTGGTCTCTGAACACCATGTCGTGGATTTTATTGATCATTTCCGGAGTTTTCACATCTACAGGACGGCTTGAACGATGTTTATCTACAGTCGATGTACGGCCACGTTTAAATTCATTTACCCAATTGTAAACAGTTGTAAAGACAGGGGCAGATACATCATGAACTGCATCTAACTCAGCTTTGATTTCCTTCATCACCGCTTGGAACTCATTTTTTTCCATTGTTAACAAGAAATAAAAGTTGTTCACATTGATCGACGATAAAAACGGAACTACTCGATGGATCTGGCTGAAACTTCGGTAGCATTCTATTAAAATAAAAATTGAAAAAAATCATATGAAAAAATTGCACTGAAGCTCACAAACATGTATAAATCATTATACATGCTCTGTACACATTTGTTAATGTAAAAATAGAGTACTCACAGGATAATTATCTCGCCCTCTTTAATTATCAGCGTTTGAATCTAAAAAATTATATCGATCTTTTCTCCTCCTTTTATATTATCTTATAATTTTTAGAGTTGGAATTGATAAATTAAATTTACCCTGATTACATTGATAAGCCATGTCTATTAACCAGCTGTGCAATTGCTCTTCCAACTTAATCTTGATACTTTTCTTGGTAAAGTAATAACTCTAGTTGACTCAAAATTTCTTTTATGAAATTATAAACAAGCAGAAAAGATACATCCAGCGTAACCAATTGTTTATAAAGATAACAATCATAAATCAGAATTGGCAACTGCATTTACACGTTTTAAAACACCTTGTGTGTTTCGTCCAATTGCTGACTTAAAAAATTATGTAACGAAAGCTCGTTCGTTAACCACTTTTAAGGTGGGCAAGTGAGGCGCACTCGCTCATAGTAATCGAGACGGGAAGGGGGAAAAGGTAATAAATGAAAGTGGTTAGGGTTATTATTATACACACAACAAAAATTCGCATTTAAACAAATCTTATTCAAATCAAATCAAAGTTAAATTACACTTCAACTTCGCAAATACCGCACATTAACAAACCGCATAATGATACGAACTCTTATAATCAACTTTTACAAATCTTAGCCTAATGAACACAACGGTGTTGCTAACAAGTCTTAATACTATACCGGGTATTTCAGACCATCCCTACAGCCATTTTAAAATCGAAAATTCGTGTTTTTGTGAAAAATGTTTCAGATGAAAGTTGTTTACGACAAAGGGGGCCATCTATCTGTATAATTAGTTTTGACCTTGAACATCGTTTTCAAGGTCATTTGAAGGTCGAATTGTTTTTTTTTATTGGGAACCTCTATTTTTGACATCGGATTCGAAAAGAGCGGGAAATTTTACGTCCACAAAGATATTTAAAAATTTTTTTTCATGGCCTTGAGAAGGTCGATTTAAGGTCAAATGCTTGAAAAACTGCCTAAAAGCGTTTTTTAAATATTTAAGATATCGAAAAATGACCTCTACAAAATTTGTTCAGAACAGAGTGGGCCACTCAATGCACCAAAAACCGTTGACCTTTAACCTCATTTTGAAGGTCATCTCAAGGTCGAAGTGTTTTTTGTAATGGAAACCTCTCTTTTTAACCCTGGATTCGCACATAGCGCGAAATCCGACGTTTGGATAAGGTATTATGTTGAGTTTTGATTGATCCACGACGTCCATCGCTACCCACAGAGCATGAATTAATTCACTGAATTAATTCTTGAATTAACGCAAAGAATTAATATAAAAATAATTTTCTAAGAAAAGAAAATTATTTCTTAATTAATACATGAAATATTACAAAGAAATATTCTAAAATTCTATTAAAAATAATTCAGGTAATGATTCCTGTAAAAATAAACAAATTAATACATGAATTAATTTAGAAAGGATTTTGAAAGGAACCATGAATTAATTTACAACATAAAACTAAAATTATATCTTGAAATAATTTAAAACTATTTCAAAATTATTTCGTGATATGATTTTTGTAAAAATACATAAATTAAATCATTCATTAATGTTGAATTAATCCAAGAAATATTATAGGTTTTAATCTCGAAATTAACGCAACAAATGATTCTGGATTCATTTAAAATTAATTCTTAAATTATATGAAAATGCAAAATTTCGATTCACTCGAATTATTTCAGAAAATAATTCAAAATTATTTCTGAATTAATTCGTGATATGATTTTTGTACAAATATACACATTAATTCACGGATTAATGTTGAATTAGTCCAAGAAAAATTATAGGTTTAAAGTTACAAATTAACGCAAGATATAATTATAAATTAATTATTTTGTTACGAGTGCATCTTTCGAATAGTTCTTATTCGAATATGTATCCGCTGCAACATTAATTTGTATATGTTGTTTGTTTATGTTTGTAATAGAAAACACAGAATAGTTAGTTAACACTTGGTTATCTGTTTGTAAACACTTTTTAAAATTAATAAAGTAAAGTCTAAGTCTTTAAGTTTAAACGTAACAATACATTAATTCTTGCATTATATTAAAATGGAAAATTTTGATTTACCTGAATTATTTCAGAAATTAATATAAAATTATTTCTGAATTAATTCGTGATATGATTTTTGTAAAAATGCACTAATTAATTTACGAATTAACGTACCGATAATCAAAGAAATATTATAGGTTTTAATTTCGAAATTAACGGAAGGAATGATTCTGAATTAATTCTGAATTAATTTTTGAATTAAATGAAAATGCAAAATTTCGATTCACCCGAATTATTTCAGAAAATAATTCAAAATTATTTCTGAATTAATTCTTGATATGATTTTTGTAAAAATGCACTAATTAATTTACAAATTAACGTACCAATAATCCAAGAAATATTATAGGTTTTAATCTCGTAAAAAAGCTTTTGTACGCATTACTGAGCATATGAAACGTTCATGAAAGTACCTACCTTACCGGCATTTACAGAACTTGAAATATTGCAGAATCAAAGTTAGATTAAAAATAAAAACTTTTTTTTAGGGTGTAGATATATGTCCAAGAATTACTCAGTTCAAATTTCACACAATTCTATAGAGTGGTTCTTTCAAAATTTGATCAAGCAGCACCAAATCTTAATTTCTTCGAGGTGTTATCAGGGGCGTTTCATATCTCCTTAAGGGAATTTTAATTCAGGATTATTTAAACCCCTAGCATTGCGTTAAGCACTTCCATTTTTTATTATTATTCGTTAAAATTGAAAGAAATTCAATGTGAAAATTCGATAAGAAATCTGCTTTATGTAATATTTATAATGTATATCTAATATATATCCATTGTGACGGTAAACGTCAAATTAGCGCTAATAATATAACCTAATTGCTGCCTGCGGAGGCAGCACCTACCGGGGAGACGAAAAACGTAACGAAAGAATTCGGCACGCGAGCAGACGGAACGCGCGCGATTGAAATTGAACCAGTGAAGCTTTGACCATCAACGAGTTCGCCGGTGTGTACGAGACCAGCTGTCACTTCCCGAGTTATCGGAGCAGAATTCCGTTCGCAGAGCACCAAGACCTGAGTTCCAGAGATCATCGCAGCCGAGGTGCCGTGCAGCTCACAAGGGCGAAGGCTTGAACCAGCAGACAAAGGCGCCGTGCGCGGTGATAACGCTAGTGCGTGCGTGAGATTTCGCCATCGAGGGCGAAGCCACGTGCTTTTAAGTTCGCGACTCGCGACACAAACAAACAATAGACCTGTGGTGGCCACGCAGTATACACTCGCACACACACACATACACACGAATACCCTAAACAATCCGACCCCTTTCCAAATACCTGAGTAACCTTTTTTTTCCCTTTGGGATTTCCCCACCATTACGCTAATTACGCCTACACTTTTGCAACTGCCAATAAATCTGAGTTTTTTACAATGTCTCCTGTTTTCCATCCTGTCCCTGAACTTCCTTTTATTTCTTGCACGTCCCGGGGAAAACCCATTTTTTCCTTACATTTTTTATATTTGTCTTTTCCCTTTCCACGCCTCCAAAAATTGCAAATAAAAACAACGACAAGCACTACCGCGGACAGTTCCTCTGGAGTCACGACGCGCGGCACACGTTCTCAGCGCGCGTTTTCACTTGTAATGTAGTCCGAATAAACTCAGTCCCGTAACAGGCATATTTAACAAAATAAACCAAAAAATTCGTTATCATTTACTCGTTTTTTTTTTCTACTCACATCGCATCTGCGGATCACCACCGACCAGGGCCGACAATTTGAGTCACACTTATTCAAGTCGCTCAGTCGACTGACAGGTACAACTCATTTGCGAACAACAGCTTACCATCCACAGGCCAATGGCATGGTCGAACGATTCCACCGGCAGCTCAAAGCAGCCATTCGTTGCCACCAAAACGACCAGTGGACACGGATTCTTCCCACGGTACTCCTGGGCATCCGAGCAGCGTGGAGGGAAGATCTGCAGGCAACCGCTGCAGAACTGGTCTACGGCGAGCCACTTCGACTACCGGGCGAATTTCTGACAACCAGCAACCATAAAAACAGCGACCAGGTCACCTTCACAGACGAACTGCGACGCCATATGCAGCAGTTACGACCCGCGGACATCACCCGCCACGGAACAGTGAAGACGTTCATTTTCAAAGATTTAGCAACATCAAAGAACGTTTTCATACGGCGTGACACCGTAAAAAACTCCCTTGACATGCCGTATGATGGTCCATACCCGGTGGTCAACCGACACGGAAAAACCTTCAGCGTAAAAATACACGGCAGAGACACCACGGTCACCATCGACCGACTGAAACCGGCGTATACCATGTCAGAAGAGGAGACGGACACAGAACCTACACCCCTGGAGAGGCCACACCATCTAGGCACGGAGACGCCGAACCAGCCCAATCCACCGACAGCTGTCCAGCACGAGAGGACGCCAGACGAGCCGACCTCTCGCCAATCAAACCGTCGAGTTCGCTTCACGGAGCGATATCAGGCGGGCTTCAATTAGATTTTTTTTCATTATTCAAAAGTTTTTTTTGTGAAAGCTATGTTACACTTGGTTTGCCGTTTCTACAGATTCACACACATATAAGATTCACACACATAAAAAAAAAAACACAACCACACATACTTTGTAAATACTAGGTTAAGTTTCATTGTATCGTGACTTCGTCACTGGCGGGGGGGTACTGTGGTGGCCACGCAGTATACACTCGCACACACACACATACACACGAATACCCTAAACAATCCGACCCCTTTCCAAATACCTGAGTAACCTTTTTTTTCCCTTTGGGATTTCCCCACCATTACGCTAATTACGCCTACACTTTTACAACCGCCAATAAATCTGAGTTTTTTACAATGTCTCCTGTTTTCCATCCTGTCCCTGAACTTCCTTTTATTTCTTGCACGTCCCGGGGAAAACCCATTTTTTCCTTACATTTTTTATATTTGTCTTTTCCCTTTCCACGCCTCCAAAAATTGCAAATAAAAACAACGACAAGCACTACCGCGGACAGTTCCTCTGGAGTCACGACGCGCGGCACACGTTCTCAGCGCGCGTTTTCACTTGTAATGTAGTCCGAATAAACTCAGTCCCGTAACAGGCATATTTAACAAAATAAACCAAAAAATTCGTTATCATTTACTCGTTTTTTTTCTACTCACATCGCATCTCGTACCCCGTTCCCAAAGACCTTTTCCGAGTGCGACTTATTGGTGTCATCTTCGAGCGTCCGCAAAACAAAGGTAAGCTGGCCAGCTTAATCTCGCGATCGTGGTTGCATGTATAACAATTAATTTCTCGTGTTCGAAGCGTGCATGCAATAGCTCTGTTAACAAAGAGCAGCGAGCGTCCCGACACTGTGTGTTCTCGATGAGCGAGCGCTGATGTCAACATAAACTCGCGGGCCGATCCAGTGTAATATTTGATAGACAATAAAAGATTCTGTTCGTGTTATTAACAAGTGCTTTCGACTCGCTTATTCCATATTGCTTCCACTCATTTTCTTAGATTAGTAGATCTATTGGTTGACTGACACCTGTTTCCCCATGCTCTCCGGATTATGTATTAAGCATAGATGATTACATTCGCCCTTCAATAAACTCGCGCGAATAAAAATAATTAAACGGTAAGAAACCCCGTTACACCATATACTAGATAATATTAAAGTAAACATTAAATAAAGTACTGTACGTTTATCAATTATTTTATTTCGTGTTCTTCCATAATTATATAAAATATAGCACTTTTAATAATTTTTCAAATTTTACTTATATATTCAGTAAATAATTTATTTATAGTATATCTAGTTGTGTTATATAATTTTAAATATTTTTTATAATAATTCTAAAAGTAATTAGATAGTATTTTATAAAATAATTCTTGTGAAATGGATATAATCTTTTAAAATTATTTCAGTGAATCAATTCTGTATTAATTTTACGCCAGCTTTTTATTACTTAAGTATCATTTTGAAAATTAATTTTGAAACAATTCAAAACATTCTTACTGTAATGATTTCAAAATTATTATGATAATATTTCATAAAATAATTCTTCTAAAATGCATGTAATATTTGAAAATTATTTCAGTGAATCAATTCTGTATTAATTTTATGTCCGCTGTTTATTTCTTCAATATTAATTTTAAACATTAATTTTGAAACAATTCAAAATATTCTAACTGTAATAATTTCAAAACTATTACGTTAATATTTCATAAAATAATTCTTCTAAAATGCATGTAATATTTGAAAATTATTTTAGTCAATTAATGTAGTAATAATATTCGTTATATTTCTAAAGGAAAAAAAACGGACATAAAATTAATACAGAATTAATTCATTGAATTAATTCTAAAATAATTATATTATTTCATGAATTAATTTTGAATTATTTTAGAATTAATTCATGCTGTGTGGGTAAGGTCATATGAAATTTAGATCCAATATTATTTGCGAAACATTTACAAAATGTTTCGGGCTAAATTTATTAAATTCTACTGGGAGCACGTCGTGGATCAATCGAAACTCAACATAATACCTTATCCAAACGTCGGATTTCGCGCTATGTGCGAATCCAGGATTAAAAAGAGGGGTTTCCATTACAAAAAACACTTCGACCTTGAAATGACCTTCAAAATGAGGTTAAAGGTTAAAGGATTTTGGTGCATTGGGTGGCCCACTCTGTTCTGAACAAATTTTATAGAGGTCATTTTTCGATATCTTAAAAATTAAAAAAACGCTTTTAGGCAGTTTTTCAAGCATTTGACCTTAAATCGACCTTCTTAAGGCCATGAAAAAAAATTTTAAAATATCTTTGTGGACGTAAAATTTCCCGCTCTTTTCGAATCCGATGTCAAAAATAGGGGTTCCCATTTAAAAAAAACAATTCGACCTTCAAATGACCTTGAAAACGATGTTCAAAGTCAAAACTAATTATACAGATAGATGGCCCCCTTTGTCGTAAACAACTTTCATCTGAAACATTTTTCACAAAAACACGAATTTTCGATTTTAAAATGGCTGTATGCATGGTCGGAAACACCCGGTAGAACACAACGGTGTTCCTAACACCTATTACAATAGAGAACAAAGAACAAGTTAACCTATAGAGGGCCGGGGTTTTGAAAAATTTGAAAATCGCATTTTTCTATAGCAATGTGGTCTAAGGTCCCTGAGTTAGAGCCAAACTAAGTTGCGATGTTGGTGAGTCAGACCCCTTACGCCTAGAGGCGTATTCCGGTCTGATACGGTAAGGCCAAATGTTAAAATTTTCAAAATTTCAGGAAACCGTTAAAATGCACAATTTTTTTTTATTTTTAGCTGTATTTAGGTTTTATCTGGTCATTCTATATCAATATTACTTGAAAAATATTACAAAGAGCGCTATCAACCGGCGATATCTGAGTTTCTTTATTCTTTACATTTGAAAACTACACAAATACATTATAACACACAAAAAAAAATAAGTCAAAACCCACGGAACAGAGCATATACATTTTATGTTTTTTGGGTCACTGAATCTGAATCTGGTGTTGGTTTGACCCCATGACCTCAGAGCCAAGGTCATTTGAAGGTCAAATCTACAAAATATGGTAACCTTCTTGAAAACATATGTGTATATGTTTTTTGGTTTGCTGAATCTGTAACCCTAGATAGTTTGACCCCACAAGGGCAGGGTCAAAGTCATTCTCAAGGTCAAATTTATAAAACTTACTGCAATCAATTTAGATGTATACCACTTGTATACATTTTTTACGGTCAATGAATCCAAATCCGATATTTTTGATCTTTATCAAGCATAGATAAAGATAATATCGAGTTTTTCATCACGTTGACCTTGCTATGTCCTTGTTATCGATTTGTTACAAATAAAAAAATATCTGATTCCAATTTAGTTCAAAAATATATACATGTACAAAGTATTTTACAATATTCATCTAATAGTACCAAAAATCACCGCTAGGTGCCGCGAACCCGAAAATCGTTATCCATATCTAAAGTGGCTCATTGATTTACATAAGTAGAAGCGGTATAGTAACAATTTGAATCTAAAATAGCTGTGTTATTGTGGTACTGTCCGGACAGGATCAATTATTACAATTTATTGCTACTATACGAATACTTTTATATTATAGCTTTTTGTCAGGATCATCATCTGATTATCTCTCCAAATATGTCAATTAGCAGTGGAGAATCTGAACTAGAAATTGAACCTGATTCTAATTCTGATTCTAATACAGAAATTGTAGAAATTGATACGGATGAATTAGAGTACATTCCTGGTCTTGAAATATTTTATGAAAATTCTTTTTCTCCTTCTATCAAATCATTTTCATCACGATCTGGTATCAGAGAAAATATCGAATTGAATGGGAATGATCCCATTCATTATTTTAAATTTTTCTTTGATGAAGTTCATCTAAAACTTATATGCGAAGAAAAAAATCGATTTCAATGTCAAAATCCTGAACCGGAACGGGTAAACATGGCTAAGTGGGTAGATTAGGAAAAAGAAGAACTTTTGAAATTTTTAGCTCTATCCATTCTCATGGGACATATTAGAAAAGGAAATCTGAAAGACTATTGGAGTACTTCTCCAATGTTATCAACTCCCATATTTCCAAAAACAATGACTCGCAATCGTTATTGTCAAATTTTACGGTTTTTACATTTTACAGATAATAATGTTCCATTTGATCATCCATTGAAAAAATTGAAATCGGTTGTAGATCATCTGAAAACCAAGTTTGCGACCATTATAGATCCAGCAACAAAATTATGCACCGATGAAAGTCTTGTTTTGTGGAAAGGTCGATTGTCTTTCAAACAATATTTACCTTTGAAACTCCACCGATTTGGTATAAAATTATTCGTTCTTGTAGATTGTGAGACCGGAGTAATCTTGGACTTTATTATTTACACAGGGGCGAATACTGATTTCGAGAAGTTCGATTTGGGTGTTACAGGAGATGTTGTTGCTCATATGATGAAACCTTATTTCAACAAAGGTCATATTCTTTACGTTGATAATTGGTATTCTTCTCCGAAATTGGCTGAATTTTTGCACGAGAAAGACACAGGATTATGCGGTACGATAAAAAAGAACAGAAAAGGATTACCATGCTTGAATATGAAACTTCAAAAGGGAGAAGTTCAATTGGCCCATAACATGGTCTAGATGGCTATAAAATGGCAAGATAAAAAAGAAGTGTACATGATAACTTTAGTACACGAATTTGAATATTTAGAAACAGGGAAAAGAGACTGAAAAGCTGGAGCAAAAAAAACGAAACCAAAGTGCATAATTGATTATAATAAAAATATGGGAGGAATAGACCTTATTGACAAACAACTATCGTTGACTGAGACCGTAAGAAAGTCAATGAAGTGGTAAAAAAAATTGTTTTTTCACTTAGTCGATATGGTCCTTCTAAATACACATGCAATGTACAACATGAATAATAATAGATTATCTTTTCCTGAATTTAGAATGAAAATA